GAACGCACACGTTCACGTACATGCATGCACGCACGAACGCACACGTTTACGTACACAGACGCACACGTACTCATCGTACGTCCGTGGCTCAGTTAGAATTAGTATTATGCGAATCCCGGGTTCGAATCTCATCATATGATTATCAATGAGGGGGCCATTCTCATTTCTCACACTGAATTTATCCTGAATGTCGCCACTTAACTTTATTTTTGATGTTTTGATTGTAAGAAAGTTTACGCGTAAACAAGTAAGCAGTGTTTGAGATTCGTTTCAAAATTCGGCCGTTAATTTAGCACTGTTGTGTTGTAGTAAGCCCCTAACCACGTGACTGCTATTCTTACAGTTTGATAGTTTTAATTTTATTCTTGATAGGTTTTTATTTTTAATTTTGATGTCTTTTTCAGGTCCAAGTTCGGGATCCGGATGTTCTTCGGAATCGGATAAGTGAAACGAATTTAGTCTGATGTAGAAATATGTCCTTATATCAAGGTCAAAATGATGTGAAATGTCGGTGAATTACAATTGAAATGAATGAATTTAAAATTGTTAATGGGAAAAAACAATTTTTCAACCTTAGTCAAAATTATTAGAGCCAAAAATGTTTATATTGCGGTGGCTTGAATAAACATCTAAGAATTTAATGAAAAATAATTTATCATTTTCACTCCTTGATACTGCCATTGTAAATATAGACAGAAACATAGACAAGGAGTTAGAAAAAAAAATGAAATGAGCAAACATGTACTTGATTTATATTATGTACAGTATTTATGTTCATACAATACTCCTTTTAATTTATATATGTTCCTATGAAGTCATTTTTTCAGTGTATCCTTTTTTATAACAAGGTGGCAAATCCTATCCTCCCTCTCTCTTTTAGTATTAACATGATAGTTTTCTAAATAAACTTTATTAGGAAATTCATGCCATTTGTCCAAATCCTAACAGATACTTCCTTACTCTATTCTTAAGCATCACAGGTTTTTTTGTACCTGATTTTTCTTCCACTATTTTATATTTATTATAATCACATAGAACAAATTGTTCTAATTTTATAAATTGATTGTTTCGTTGGATATTTTTATTTGAAATATTACTTTTACAAGTTAAAAATATAATTCAAAAGTGGTCCATAGTAAAACTTATCTGCGATATAACGCAATAAATACCTTTAAAGTACTATGTTGATATGTCGACTAGGAATTTATATGTATGTTTATTATTTAAAAATTGCTTTACTGGTTGGTTGCTTATATAGGATAAATGATTGTAAAATAAATAATTTTATTTAATAAGTTTATTTTAATTCATCTTTTTAAATACATGAAAAATATTTAAGTTGCTTTCAACATTAACCTATTAATGAAAGTAAACAAAAAATTACTATATTTCTGCTTTATGGCACAACATTCCACGGTACGAAGCTTTCTGGGTCCGGTACTGGAATCTGAAATCATAAGAAGTCTAAATCAGTCAAACGCGGGTAAAACCTATTTTTGACCGACTTCCCAAAAGAAGGAACTACTCTATTCATCTGTATGTTTTTGAGAACACTAAATTATAGAACATGTTTTTTCGTTGGTATTCCTATCTTTAGATCTCGTTAAATCTGAAGCGCATGGTTTGAAATACCTCGGATAAGCAAAGATAGCACGAGATCGTGTATTACACAATTACGACCACAGACCTAACATTTGCTAGTAAAGTAATACCTTCTTAG